TCCGCGTCTGTTCGCAGCGGGAGGTGAATGTCCTGCTCGCCGAATGCCAGGAGCGCTGGTGACAAAAAAACGAAAAAAACAGTCAAGTTTTTCACATATATGCTCTTCTCCCCGCTGCCGTGTTTCCCTCCTTCAAGGCTTTTTCTCTTCCAGGTGTTTACGGACCCCAGCAACCTCCAGCGGCACATCCGTTCCCAGCACGTCGGGGCGCGGGCCCATGCCTGCCCGGACTGCGGCAAAACCTTTGCCACCTCGTCTGGCCTCAAACAGCACAAGCACATTCACAGCACTGTCAAACCTTTCATATGTAAGTTGTCACGGCCATCACGGAGCCCTGGCTTTTGCCGTAATTGCCCGTATCCTGCGGGGCCCCCCAGTACTAGCTGTCCCTCTGTGAGCAGCCGCTGTAATTTCATAGGTCAGAGCACAAGATGAAATTCCGCAGCAATTTTTTTTTGTTCTTTTTTTTTTTTTGCACGCTCCCTGTTTCTTCAGTAAACATTGATGGCAGTTTTTGACTTTCTTGACAAGTTAAAAGCTGAGTCTCTCAGCAGTCCTAGCGATGCCATTTTCTGATATCTTTTCTTTCTGTCTTCTTTTTTCCTTAATAATTTTTGAATGTTCATGTTGATGACATAAATAAATAGCTGACACGGCCCGATGGAAATGTTTTTCAGGTTGCCTCAAATCCTGTAGCCATTGTAAAGAATTTGGAATAGTCACAGAGACAAGAAGAAGGTGTTTTTTAAAGAGAGTTTTTGCCTTCTTTATTTGCTGCATGTTTCATCTAGGTAATGTGTGGAAGCCAGATAAGCAGCAGATCAGCTGTGTCCTGAGTGGAATATTTCCAAAAGGGCATTTTCTCTGGAGACCCATTCATCTCATCTCTTGTCATTCTCAGGGTTGTATATTTTTTTAATTGACACAGCACCTATTGGGTTTTGATAACTGTGCAGAAAAGTGGATTGTGTCACAACAAAGCTGTAGAAACTTTGGGGACTGCTTCCTGACACTCTTCAGAAAGCGTGGTTCAAGCACAGAGCGGGGTCTGCGTTTGATTCCAGGCTTTGATGTTACGGTGGGGAAG